CCCCCCCCCGCCGGCCGCCCCCCCCCCCCCCCCCCCCCCCAAAACGGTTGACTGCTCCCATCAGCTGCTTGGTCTGTCTGGAGGATAGAGCCAAGGTCTGCCCAGCGAGAGGGGAGGGGTCAGGAGATCCGGCAGGGAATGCTCCCTTAGAGAACAAGTATTGGAAACCCTAGAGGAGCAGGTGGGGGCTGGGGTGTCTCTTTTTCTGGTTCCGCTGCCAGCAGTGAGCAGCTAGTACTGGAGAGAGAGATGAAGGTCCCAGAGGGACAATAGGCCTCCAAAACCTTGCTCCTCTTTTGCATGGGAGCTGCTTGGAACCTGGGGGGCCAGCGTGTGCATTAGCCTAGACTCCATGGCCTTTGTGAGTAGCTAGAGTTCTCTGTGTACTGCCTGGCCTTGCTCTCTCCTTCAAGCTGTTGATCTCTTGCCATCAGTTAGATGATGTTTGGAAAAGATATTTAGTGAGAATTTACAGTAACAAATGAACTTGGATTCGTATATAAAGATTATTTTTATACCTTTTGCAGCAAAAGAAAATTGCCTGTAATATTTGTACAGTGTTCTCGGAGTGAATAAACTGAACCTTTCAGAGCCACCTGTCAGCCCTTGAGCACCACCAAGCATCGTACAGTTGGCCATTTCTGCATTAGCCGCCCTCTGGGTGCTGCAGCGGGGTGCTGGGCTTGGCGGCCCGCAGGCCTCGAGACGGGATGCCCTCACTTCCAGGGGGCTCCTGGAACTGCTGCTGTTCACCAGCTGTGGCCGGTCTATAGTTGGGGTTAGTGTGAGCATTTTAGAGTTGTCAGTTTGCGTGTGGGGACATATCCACTGCTCGGACCAAGAAGTGAGGAAATCCTGGGCTGGGGCCTGTGTCCCTGGAGCTCTAACCATTAGGGACAGAGGCCAGCAGGGCCATCTCCTGCGCATGTGCTGTGCCCCGCATACCCGTGCGGAGGTGCAGTCTGCTCTGTGCCTGGCCGTGATGGCAGGGGGGAGGGGGCTCGAAAACATTCGGTTTAAGAGCAGCTTATCTGGGTTTAGCGTCTCCTGGCTCTTAACCAGTTGAAGCCAGAGCTCACTGGCCTGCTTTATGCTGAAGAGCCGTGTGCAGGTAACTAACTGGGTATGGATCTGCCCTCCCTTCCGAGCTGAGAGCAGACCTTGGTCCTTCCCCGACTAGGGCTGAGCGCTGGGCAGCGGGAGCAGGCAGCAACTGGCATGCACAGGTGGCCATGAAAAAAGGGGATCCTGACTTAGAACTAGTCCTGCTGCCATAGGGGGCTGGGGCAAGCCCCCGCCATGGCCTTTCCCTGGGGGCGGGGGGAGGAGGACTGAGCCACAGACCAGCCCCTGAGGGAGCCAGGGCTTGGCCTAAGTGCTAGGTGGGGCTAAGTGCCCCGGGATGCATGGAGATCTGCATCTGAAGAAGTGGGTTTTTTACCCACGAAAGCTTATGCCCAAATAAATCTGTTTAGTCTGTAAGGTGCCACCAGACTCCTCGTTGTTTTTAAGAAACAGCTGGACAGTCAGAGGCATTTGTGTACACGTCCGTGTCGCCAAGATGGGGATTACTTACAGAAATGAGGATTTTTAATAAATTTTGAATTCTGGGGGGGAGGGAGGGAATCACATTACTAGAATCCAGAACAGTATTAGAGGACTCTATGACCATATTGGATATATGGATTCCTTGGGCGAGGTAACAGCAGAAGTATGAAAGCTAGTGCAGCCTACAGGCTCAGAAACAAAAGGGCAAAGTAAAAGAACCCAAAACGTATTTATTTCATTTAATTACTTTCAGGTGCACAGCTCCTGAGACTTGCAGTCTTGTGGTTACTCTATCATGGGGTTGTATATCTACAGTAGAAATTTGCCATTGAGAAGCATGTCATATAAGATAATATAGGGGCCTTTAGTCAGGGCTGGCTCTACCATTTTTGCTGCCCTGAGCAAAAAAAAAATGCCGCGTGGACTGTGCCACCCCAAGAATGGACAGAATGCCGCCCCTTAGCATGTGCCGCCCCAGGTCTGTGCTTCCTCCACTGGTGCCTGGAGCCGGCCCTGCTTTAGTGAATATTTGAGAACCGAGGTTTGCACACAAGTGAGGATGTGAAAAAGCAGGAGGTGCTGCTGGAGGGAAAGGTAACATTGGTGGATCAAAGGAAAGCGAAGAAGTTTTGAGAGGAACAGCAGAACTCAGTCTGCCTTAAAGTCACATGATCTCAAAGAATAAACTTTAGTATTGAAAAACACAAACAAAAATGTAGTATTAAAAACGAACATTGCCCTACGCATAGGAAGTGCTGGACTAACCCCAGGGAGATGTGACTGCTGGAGCTACCGGCACGACAAGGCCTTGTCTCGGACCATCTTCTGCGAGAGACACCGCTGAGCCCCAGGGCTGAGACAGGTGCTCGGAGGGTCCCGGCTCCAGGCGAGGGGGGTCAGTTTAGTACAGATGCTAAGGCCCGGCTTCAAGGCAGGGTGGGGGCCTGTTAACACCCTGCAGTCAGGACACAAAGGGGATCCGGTCTGTGTCCCGGCCAGGCTGGTTAGTGTCTAGCAGAGATCGGTGGCGAGTTAACACGTGCACTGAGGGGGGTTGAGCTCTGCCCGGGCTAAGGCAGGGCAATGGGGACGTGCTCGGAGTAAGGCGGGACCCCCTGGCCGGGGGCTGCAGGGAGCCGGGCCTGGCCGGGGGGTGCGAAGGGCTCCAGGGACTCCCGCCTCCGCCGTGTCCAGGCGCGGGGCGGCCCGCGGGGCGGAGCGGTGCCTCCTGCGGGGGGGCGCCCCCCAACGCCGGTTCCTGGCCCCGCCCGGCTCGGCCCCCGCCCCCCGCAGGAGGCGCGGCCGGGTTCGGCTCCCCGGGTCTCTCCCCCGCCGAGCGGCTCCTGCCCCGCCTCGGCCCGCCCCGAGGGCGGGGACCCGCGGCCCCGACCCGGAACTGCAGGCGGCGGCGGCTCCGCGGGGTGCCCGGGCCGGTGAGTGCGGTGGGGCGGCCCCAGAGCCCTGCCCCGGGGGCCCGTGGGGGCGGGCCCCCCAGGGGTGGCCGATGAAGGCGGGGGTGGGCCGGGTGCTAGGTCCCAGGGGTGGGGGTGGGCCGGGTGCTAGGTCCCAGGGGTAGGGGTGGGCTGGCTGCTAGGGCCTGGGGGTGGGCCGGGTGCTAGGGCCCCAGGGGTGGGGATAGGGGTGGGCGGCCCTTGGCATCGGGCACACCAGCTGTTCCTTCCCTCCAGCTCCCTGCTCCATGGCGGGTCCCGGTGTCCCCTCCGCTCCTCTCCCTTTCGGGGTTGGTGGGTGTAGCTGAGCTGGCAGCCCGAGGCTCGGTTATCCTGCCTGGCGCTGCCCGGCCCAGGGCACACATGCTCTGGCAGGTTCAGCCTGGCTCTGTGCCAGCCCCACGCGCCCAGCCAGGTGTTGGAACTAGCTGGGCCTGTCAGCCCCATGACCCGTTCCCGTGCTGCCCTTTCCCTGCCCGCTGTGGCCCTGCTCTGCATTGCAAACATACCAGTTACTCAGCCAGAGCCGGACTCAGCTCATCAACTCATTCCAAAAGGCCGGCAGGCGAGCTGCCAAGAGAGTCTGGCCCCACCAGACGTTCGCAGGAGAGCAAACCAACCTGCCGCATCCAGCGTGGTCAGAGGACGACAATGGGCACGTTGAGGCCACGCGGTCAGGATAATACAGCCACCACCTGGGAAGAGAGAACGCGGGCGACCTAGAGAAACATTACACGCAACGCTGCAGAAAAGAAGCCACATCCATCAACCATCCGCTCGGAAGCCTGGACACGCCAGCACGAGACCAAAACGCATGGCTAATGCCGGCGGACGCTCCTGGGGCGTGGGGGGATTAAAAACCCCCCTAACTCTAGCCCCCTCCTCAGGCTGGCTGCTCGGCCTCCGCCGGCTTGTGCTCAGTCGATTTCAATACCGCTGGTAGGAAACGAAGGGTATGTCTACACAGGGATAAAGCACCTGTTGCTGGCCCCAGGTCAGCTGTGTAGATGCTTCCGCTGGCGCTCTGGGACCCTGCGAGGGTGGAGGGCAAAGCCGCCGCTAGGAATAAGCAGACTAAGCAATTGCTTAGGGCCCCGAGCAGCTCCAGGGGGCCCCCATTTGCTTTTCAAATATGTGTTAGGGGGAAAAATATTCCTGCTTAGGGCCTGCAATGGGCTGGCCTGAGCCCGAACCACTACACAGCCAATTTTAGCTCCACCTCCTGAGCCTTGCGAGCCTGGGCCAGCTGTGGCCGAGCTGTGGGACTTTTCGCTCTGTGTAGACCTACGCTAACGGGCTCTTTGCTGGAGAGGATTTTACTCTCTGGTCAAACACCACCAAAACCCCACGTATCGAATCCAGCGAGCGGCGGTTCGCAGTGCGATGACGAGCAGCGGGGCTTTGCCGAGCCGGGTTTGACAGTCATTGTGGGTTCCTACTTGGCTGTCGCTCTTCCTTTTTTTCCTTCCTGGCTGCCCTCCGCTTTTTCTTTCTCTTTCCTGAAATAGCCTGGGGTCTCTTTTCTTGCAGTCTTCAGCGCCAGCTTCCTCTTTTCTCTTTCTCTGCCTCTTCTCTTCCCACTCGGTTCGCTCCCTACCTTCCAGGTATTTTCCCTCTCCCTCTCACCCCCCTATCAAATCCTACCAGCTCTAGAGCCCTGCTGAGCAGATGACTAACTCTGCTAGCTGCAGGGTGATGGCACAGCTGGGGGGGAGCACTGATCGGGGCAATTCTCTGCCCTCTCTCTGGCTGCTGCTTTACCCCTTCTCCAGCCTTTATTTTTGAGTTCCCTGCCGCTGCCAGTAGGTTTTGGGGCCTTCTTCCCAAGTGGCCTCTGAATGAAACTGACCGGCTGCTTGAGGGTCAGTTTCTACTTGGCTGCAGCTTGTGGACTCTCTGGAGCCACTGCTGAGGCGGGGAGACGGAGCGCATGTTGACACTACTGAGCTGATGCCGAAAATGGCCCCCTAGACGTGGCATCCTTCCATGGAAGGGGTTTTTCTGCCTGCGCAGTGATTTGCCTCCCCGAACGACGGTAGCAATGCCGACAGAAGCGCTGTTCTCCTGCGTGATCAAACGCAGGCTTGGATTGTGCAGGAGGTGACAGGACTCGGCCGAGAGAGCGTTCTCCTCACCCTGGCTGAGTGGGGTTTTCAGGCTGTGCCCCCGGCCGTAGCACCTGATGGCCCTTAGCGTCGGCTTCTGCGTGTTGCCCCGTGTGCTGATGGCTCACGGCTGCTCCCATCTGACCGGGATCCCACTGGTCTCCGGCCCGGTGTGGGGGGCCTCTGGAGGACTGTAATTCTGTGCTGCATTCATTAAGCTCTTGTTCCTCTTCACCCTGCCCATGTGCATTCCCAGCGGTGGGCGTGGTGCCACCTGGCGCACTCGAGGGCGTGCCAGTCCCACGAGCGTGATGCAGGCAGGTGACTTCTGAGCGGTCATTGCGACTGAGTGCCCCCCCTTTCTCTTTCAGGAGTTGCTGTGTGGGGCGGGGAAGGTTCCGAGCAGGAGCCGGAGAACCGGGACCATGCCGCCCCCCAAAGACGTGGTGAAAATCGCCATTCAGATGATGGGAGCCATCCCACAGCTTATTGAACTCAACCAGGTAACGTCCTGCCTCCTGGAAGGCCCAGCTGGCGTGGGGGGGTTCCTGCTACTGGAGGGGCTGGCAGGGCAGGGATGTGTCTCGTGCTGTGTGCTCGGGTGCCGTGCCAGGGGGTGATGCCCGGGCCACGCTCCCCACACACTGTTTCTCTTTGTTTTCAGACCAAGCCCCTGGCTGCGGTTGTGAAGGAGGTTTGTGACGTGTGAGTAACTCTTCTGTCGGCTCTCTAGCCTTGGCAGTTTGGGGGCCTCTGTCCTAGGCTGTGGTAAAAGCCGCCTGAGCAGCTGTGGGGAGTCCATGGCCCTGGGGGGGGGAACCGGGTGTCCGAAAGCAGCCCCTGGCCCGTGTCCCTGCCCCCCAGAGTGTGCCGCCAGGGCAGATGGAGAGTCCAGGGTTCCCCACGGTGGCCCAGGCTCTCTGGGCAGCTCTGACCCCAGCCCCAGTTTCTGGCCAGCCCAGGGGGGCGGAGCCTTGGGGGCAGAGGAGGAGCAGGGGGCAGGGTCCTGTGGCAGGGGTAGTGGTGTGGAGGGCCCCAATAAATCTTAATCCCTCTCTGTTGGCGGACCATCTCTGAGAATGAGCAGGCCCTTTGGGGGATGTCTCGCCCCTCCCCCAGCTCTTTGGCTGGCCCCTCTGCTCCCCACCCCGGCGCAGCCGTGTGGCACGCCGGGCAGTCGGCAGGCGATGAGCGTGGGCGGAAGGGGGAGACTTGACTCTCTCTCCCGCTGCAGGTGGAACCTGGGCAACGCCGAGCACTACGCCCTGCAGTATGTGGACGGGCAGCAGACGTACATCACCGAGTCGGTGAGTGGCCGGCAGCGCAAGAGGCTCTCGCTGGCTCCTGGAGCCTGTTGGCCGGTTCTGACCTACAGATTCTTCATCCCGTTTCCTTGTCTGTCTCGTTGTAGAACCGCGCGGAGATTAAGAATGGGAGCATTCTGCGGCTGACCACTTCTCCGGTACGTCCCACCTGTATCCTCCTCCCCTCTTTGTGACTGGAGAGTCAGCTAGACACAGATCCTGCTGCTGACTCACTGTCAATCCCCTGTGCCTCGGTTTCCCCAGCAGTAACGTGGGGATAAGGATACTGACCTATCTCAGTACAATTCCAGGGGAATTTGAGGTTTGACTAGTGTGTGTGTAAAGTGCTTGGAGATCCCTGGTGCCAAGCAATATTGCTATTGCTCAGGTCTGGCTTCCCGCTTCAGCTCCCGCCATGGGACGGCTCTGGCCTGACCCCTCTTCACCCAGTCTCTCCCTATGGGATTGTCCCGGCCCAATTTCCCCCCTCACCCTGTTGGGATTCCCAATCCCTGATGTCCCCTCTCATGCCGACTCCTTCCTGGCTGGCAGGATCAGGAGGCAGAGCGGCTGCACAATGGGATCCGGAGTCACAACCTGGACGTGAAGGCAGACTCCCTGAAGAAGCTGGCGAACCTCTCCCGAGACATCACCTTTGCCCAGGAGTTCATCAATAGGAACGGCCTGAAACAGCTCTTCCTTATTGTGGAAGAGGGGAACGAGTGAGTGAGTCGCTCCTCTTTGCCCCTCCCCGCATCCGATGAGTTCCCCTCTCTGCCCCCACGTACACACGTGCCTGGCTTGTCCTTTCCCCAGCCCCCGCCCCGGCGAGGCTGTGCAGCCAGGGGAGGTAGGACGCGCTCTGCATGCATTGCACGCACCGTTGTGCTCTGGAAGTCTAGAGGACAGGGATGGAAAGGCCTCCGCCTGGGGCCCTGGCAAGGCAGGACTTGCCCCTTGTAGGTTTGTCCATCCCAGATGTTCCATCCCTCCCTTGGGGAGACTGGATCTCACTGCCAGGAAATCTCCTGAGGATCAGCCTGTGTTGTTCCACGCCCCATTGCTGTAGTCACTGCCTCCCACGTGTACCCCCCCAACTGATCCCTCGCCCTCCTTCAGTATGACCCCCCTGGATATTCGCTGTGTCCCTCTCCATCATCGCTTGGCCAGGCCAGACGGACGTAGCTCTTTGGCTTCTTCCTCGGTCTCGGCTTTTCTTTCAGCACGTGTTAGTTTTCCCCGGGGTCCCGCCGGGCAGCCTGCACTTTCCTGGCTCCGGGGCGCGTGGAACACCGTGTGTTGTGTTGTCTGGCAGCGTTGCATGTGCGTGTCGTTAGACTCCATTGTAGAGCATATGCCTGAGGCAGCAGAATTCAGGTGTTCCCCTGGATTTCCTTGACGCTTGTATGCTTAACTGTGCAACTGTAACGTCCTGTGTCCTCCTTGGCGCTTTCCGGGTCTCCACACTCCTCCTTGGGCTAAGCGAGAGGCTGATTTCTTGTACCGAGTGTTCTCCCTCCATTGCTCATCTCCTGTCTCTTTCTCTCGCCCTCTCCCTGTTTTCTGTCTCTCTAGGTGTTTCTAATGTGCCCATCGCTGTGGTGTCTGGGTGGCTTTGTCCTTGCTGCCCTGGCCTATTGAGCGGCGTTTCTGTGGGGTTCCTGGGTCCCCTCTCACCATGTTTGCTGTTCTGTTGCTCCAGTACAGGGGAGATTCTAGCTCACACCCTGAAGGCATTCATGGAGCTGATGGAGCACGATTTTGTCTCCTGGGAGACGCTGAGTCCGGCCTTCATCAAAAAAGTAGGTGCCTCCCCGGAGCCTTTGCGCCCCCCGCCGTGCTGTGGCGGCTGAGCTAGGCATGTCTCTGACCTCCCGTTGCTCCCGTTGTTACAGATAGTGAGGTACGTCAACACGGGTGGGATGGACGCCTCCATCCAGCAGCTCTCCCTGTCCATCCTGGAGAACATGGTCCCGAGCAGCCGCCACCTCTTTGAGCTGGTCAAACGTGAAGTGACCCTGGATCGCCTCCTCACCCACCTGCAGGTGTAAGTACAGCCACAGGCGCCGACTTTCAGCGTTCCCTGAGGGTGCTTCGGCCCCGCCCCCTCCCCTGAGGCTCCACCCCTGCCCCGCCTCTTCCCAGCCCCGCTCCTCCCCTTCCCCCCAGCGCCTCCTACCTGCCACCGAACAGCTGATTGGCAGTGGGCGGGAGGTGCTGGGTGGAGGGGGAGGAGCTAATGGGTGGGGCCTGCCGAACAGCTGATCGGTGGGTGGCTGCTGATCACCCTTTTTCTTTTTCTCGTGGGTGCTCCAGCCCCGGAGCACCCATGGAGTTGGCGCCTATGAGTACAGCGCAAGCCATGATCCCATCCTGCCTCTGCCGGCCTCCATCTCCTCGGCCTGTCCCGCTTCCCTGGGGAGAGCAATCCGCAGCCTCCTCCAGTTCCCTGCTCCTCCACCTTCCTTTTCCACTATGATTTCAGCCCGTCACGCTTGGCTATGGTGGGGACTCGCCCCTCGGATGTTTGCTGTCCCCGCGTCCCGGCTTAGCTCCGTGTAGCTCTTTATCTCCGTCCGCCTGGCTCGCTCCATGTTGCCTCCCAAGTTATGTTGCTTCTCCAGGCTTCCCATCTAGCTCCGGCTGGGAATGAGCTCCCCGGTAACCCCCAGCATGCCGGCTGTGCGTGCTCTGTAGCCATTTAGAGACAGGCCTGTTCGCCCCTCTGCTCCTTTGCTGGGTCCCTCAGCATTGCTGCTCTCCCGCTGAATCTCTGGCGCCAGTAACACTCTCAGCATTGGGGTGCTGTTGGAACCGCACCCCTGGCCGATCTGGGGGGGAATCTGAGCTGGCAGAGCCGTGTGCCAGCTCTGAAATGAGCCGCGGCCTCTAGGCAGCTACAGCCCCGCAGGAGAGCAGAGTCTGGGGGTCCCAGCGACCCCTGAGCTGGTCCTGACTTGTTCTCACTCTTGGTCTGGCCGGGTCTGTAGCGAACACACTCTGGTTTCTCCTTTTCTCCGGTCCTGCCCCGGCCAGCCCGACTCCATGTGGCTTTGGGAACACTGGGTGCATGGCATCGCCTCTCCTGCCCCCTGGTGAGCCTGGCCAGGGCTCAGCTCCGCCAGCCTCTCCCGACACGGGCTGGGGGGGCAAGCCTGGCACACGTGACCGCTCCTCGCCCTGCTGTCCCTCGCTGGTTCTGGAACAGCCCCCGTCTGCCTGGCTGGGCGGCAGGAAGTTCATGCCCTAGCGTCTGGGTGGGGGAGAGCTCCCCCTCCTGCCTGGGTTTAAATCCCTCCTGATAAGCCCTGCCAGCATGGAGCAGGTGCTCGGCGCTCGTCTGCTGACGCACAGCCTGTCAAATGCAGGCGTTCGCCTTGCCCTGCCTGCCCCAGGCTCTCTTCTCTCTGCACTGTCGGCTGGGTCATGGGCCCAGCAGGGCTCTGCCTTGGCCTTCCTCACCCCAGGTCTCTCTCCAGGCCCTTGAATGCCCTTCAGTATCTTTGTGCCCACTCTCTGCAGGGAGCCCGCTGCCCTTACGTGCCCACCTGTGCCCTGGCACCGGGCGCCAACGGAACATCCCCTGATCTGTACCTGGCTCACAGATGCCTCCGGCCGGCTTCCCCACTGGGAGCTGAGAGCTGTGTGCAGCCTGGTGGTGTGGGGCCGGTGGGGACAGCTGGGCTGGGAGAAGAGCTGGGGGTGGGCGGCTCAGGCCCACCCTCCAGGCTAGTCACGCTAGTGGTTCATTTCCTTGCCCCTAGGACCAACCAGCAGCTGCAGCTCAAAGCCATGGCGCTGCTCATCGCCCTGCTGCTGAATGCCAGTGACGCGGAGAGGAGGGTAAGGTCCCCCAGAGCTGGCCATGCCCCTGGGGATCGCTGGGGGCGAGGAGGGAATGCAGTCTGTCTGCCCAGAGAATGGGGGGCAGTCACTGGGAAGGGCTGTTTGGGGCTGGGGCAGGGGAGGATGGGGGCTGCCTGTCCGTGTTGGAAAAGACAGTGGTCAGGTCAGGGGAGCTGTGCCAGGCCCGGCTTGCTGCCTGCCTGCCGGCCAGGGGTGTCACCCTACTGGGTTCCCTGGGCTGCTCCACAAGGCGCTTTGCCTAGGAATGTCCCAATGGTGCTAGCACCAGCTCAGCTCCCTGGAGGGGGCGATGCCAGGGCCCTGGCGTAGAGACGAGCCGGCGTTTTAACTACCGTGCTGTCGGACCCTCCTCGGGCAGGTCGAGAAGACGCAGGGCCTAACCGCAGTAGCTGGTGCCTGTCTGCACTAGGGCTCCGGCCGGCAGAGCTCCACGGACGATTGCAGCCCGGGGCACTGGCTGCTTGCCTGGAGCATCCTGCTGAGTCGCACTGAGCTCCCAGCACCGCGTCCCTGCTCCCCCCGTGTGGAAGGAGACGCGTGTGGCCGAGGGGACAGCTGGGCATGAGCCTTTACTCTGCCTGCCCTACCTCTCCCCTTCGAACAGCAGCACTTCCATTGCCCTGCGTGGCGCCGAGAACGGGCCGGGACCAACTGGCCAGCTGCTTTATCGCCCTCTGTGCCCTGCGCAGAGCCCCGCACAGGCCTGCCCTGTGCCCACCCCTCGGCTCTCTGCTCCGCGGGGTGCTGATCTGGGCTGGACTCTTCCACCCGCTAGATCCTTTCGTTCCCTGCACGCCCGTGTAACGTTCAGAGCCTGCCTGTTCCCCCCCCGCCCGGGCAGCTGGCCTCGCCCGGTGGATTGGTGGGGAGAGCGGCTGCTGGAGGAAGCCGGCCAGCGGCTGCGGGGAGCTCAGGCCTGCCGCTTCCCGGAGTGGGTGGGGCTGGGCTGGGAGGCGCCCGTCTCACCAGCTCTCTCCCTTCCTAGGACATGATGGGCTATCTGGGCGAGAGGAACATCCGGCAGTTCATTCACAAGGTGGGAACGCAGAGAGCTCCTGGCCTCACGCCCCTCCCTGGCCGCCCCTCCCCTGCGGTCTGCCCCCTTGCCAGGTGTCTGTGCGCCCAGAGCCTCCGCCGGCAGCATTTCTGTCCCCTTCCCCCGCTTTGTGCCAGCCTCCTGCCAGTGCTGCCGTGCCCTCCCGCTGCCCGCCCTGGCACCTGGGTGCCTGCAGCTGCCTCTGTCTAGCGCTGGCCCCAGCAGCTCTGGGAGCGGGCACGGAAAGCTGGGATCCAGGCTGGGGTCACTGACGGCCTTCGTTTGCGGGCTCCTGTAGAACATTATCCACGCCTCGGAGCCGATGGGGGATGAGATGGCCCATTACCTCTACGTGCTGCAGTCCATCACCCTCAACCTGCTGGAGCGGAGGATGCGGACCCCCATGGACCCCTACTCGCAGGTCTGCCGGGCTCTTCTCGCCCTTAACCCCCCCGCGGGCCTGTCGGGTGAGCTCTCCTGGGTCTGCCCTGGGCGCTCTTCTCCGCAAAGTGTCCCCCTCCCACCTTTCCTGCCCCTGCCACTCCTCCCCCCACCCCAGAGAGCGCCGGCCTCTCTGCCATTACACCAGTCCTCTTTGCTTCCCGTCCTGCTGAGAGTTGGCTGGAGGGGATAGCGCTACCGCCCCCTGCTGGTGGAGGGAGGCAGGGCGGTGCTGTTCCAGGTGTGCCCAGGTCACATAGGGCTGCGTTTGAGTGCTCAGCACCCACAGCTGGAACTGGCCTTTCCAAGGGCTTAGCTCCCAGGGGTGGGAACCCATCTCAGAAGAGATCAGTACAGCTGGAAAAGTGCAGAGTGCAGCACAAATGATGTGGGGGATGGAGCAGCTTCCGTAAGAGGAGAGATGAACAAGACTGGGACTGTTCGGCTTAGAAAAAAAACAACTGAGGGGGGATATGATGGAGGTCTCTAAAATCGTGACTGATGTGGAGAAAGTGAATAGGGAAGTGTTATTTACCCCTTCACACAAGTCAAGAACCAGGGGTCACCCAATGAAATTAACAGGCAGCAGGTTTAAAACAAAAGGAAGTATTTCTTCACACAATGCACAGTCAACCTGTGGAACTCCTTGCCAGGGGATGTTGCGAAGTCCAGAAGTATAACTGGGTTCATAAAAGAATTAGCTAAGGATGAGACTGGATGACGAGATGTCACTTGATAATTGCCCTGTTCTGTTCATTCCCTCGGAAGCACCTGGCATTGGCCACTGTCAGAAGACAGGATACTGGGCTAGATGGACCTTTAGTCTGACCCAGTGTGGCTGGTCTTGTGTTCTTATGTACTTATACCTCTGAGCCAGGCGGCCTGGTCCCTCCCCTGTCCATGGGTTTGTTCATCTGGGCCTCCCTCCCCTCTCCTGGGTTGGGACCCCGCAAAGCTCTGGTGTTTTTGTTTGCTAGCTGGGGGGCTGTGGTCCCAGGGGCGCTAGACGGGGAGGCCTGGTGGGGCCCATTTCTTTCCCAGCAGGGTCTGAGCTCTGCCTGTGGGGTGGGGCTCGGGGCGGCAGCCCTTTCCTGGCCTCGCTAGGGCTGGACTGAGGCATCGGCCGGGCCCTGCTCTCTCTGCAGGAGCAACGGGAGCTTCTCCAGTTCCTGCGTCACAGCGCCTTCGAGTCGGAGAGCGAGGCTTCTGCCGGCACCGTCAGCGCGGAGCGCCGGCGCTCGGTGTGTGTCACAGAGTTCCGCAAGCTGGGCTTCCAGGTGAGTTGCCGCCCAGACCTTCCGCGGGGCAGGCTCTGAACCGCTCTGCCCGGAGAGCTGCAGGGGTCATTTCCGCCTCGGCTGGCGGCGGTCAGGAGCTAAGAGCGGGTCGCGGCTGTCTTGCGAAGGCAGGAGCTGTGCGGAAGTGTGGCACGCGCCGTTTCTCCCCCGCTTCCCCACATCTCTTGCCTTGGCAGGAGAACCGCGACCAGCACTTGGCTTCTGTCGGCGTCGGGATTGCACCAGGGTGTGCTGGCCCCTTAAGGGAAGCCCTCGCACCCTGTTTTGGCCCTTCGGGGAGAGGCGCTGTGCGGGTGGAAGGTGGGAATTGTGGGCAGGAAGCAGTGCATGCTGGGAAAGGGGGAGGGGGTGAGAAGGAACCTCGAGAGCCCAGCAGCAGTGTCCCCTTCTCCCAGAGCCCTTGCTCTTGGGTACAGGGTCTGACCCCAGCCCTCTAGAGGGCAGCTCAGTGCCCACCCCTCAAGCGTGGGCTTTGGGCCTGGACCAGGCAGTGGCACGACTGTCCTCTCCAGACTCCGCTGTCCCTGCTCCCCAGGGCTACGTCCTCTCTTGTCCTGGCTGCCTCCCTGCCCCTTCCACGGGACACTTCAGAAGCGCCCTCCCAGCTCTGTTCCCAGCTCCATCCCCACTGCTGGCCCTGGGCCAGACCCCAGTCACTGGAGAGCCCCTACCTGGACCTTGGCCTTGCACCATGTGAGATTGCAGGATCCTTTATGTCAGCCAAGAGGTGGCTGGAGGCCTGGGGCTCTGGGGCCAGCCTGGGCCCCCGGCACAGCCAGGAGCACATACAAATGGCAGCTCTTTCCCATGTCTGATAGCCTTGCTTCTGTGCGCTGCATGTAGCCAATCCCATCTGAGCTCAGCAGGCCCCGTTAGGGGCCTTCAGGACGCGGCGCTGACTTGGGGAGCCTGCGTCCTGCCCAGGCTGTGCGTCCCCACGAAGAGCTGCGGAAATCTCATTGGGTTCTCACTGGGCTGCCTGGCTTCATCTCAGCCCCTCGTTCCCCAACGCGCTGGTAATCCTGGGGTCTCTGGAGCCGTAGTGAGCCCATGGGACCGTGACCGATACGTACCGACTGTTCGTATCAGCGTCTAAACGGGAGCCCTCTCCTTTGCGCTGGGGTCAGTCACGAAAGCTGCGTCCTTTTGTGTCCTCCCAGAACCACAGTAACCCTGCCCAGGACCTGCACCGCGCGCCCCCGGGACTGCTGGCCCTGGACAACATGGTCTACTTCTCCAGACACTGCCCGAGCGCCTATAGCAGAGTGAGTGGATGTTCCCGGCTCGTGAGCTGCACCCCATGCACAGCCCTGGGAGGTTTCTCCCATCTCGCCGGGTTTGCCTACACGTGGAGCTATTCAGAAATAGTTATTTCACTTCAAATTCCCTCCCTACCTTAATCTGAATTAACTTTCCAGGGTAGACGAGCCTTTATTTCTCGTAGCTGGAGAGCCAGCACCCCCTAGCAGTAGGTCTGCCTGGGCCTTCCTATCCTAAGGCCATTTTGTCAGTTATTCGTAACATCCTCAGCTGTTCGGCCTGATCTTTGTCTCTGCCTGAGGCTGGCAGGTTCGGGGGAGGGAGGGGGGGTGTTGAGCCAGGCTATTTTGGAGTGCAAGGAAAGCGGCAGCTACACTTTGGGTACAGATATTGGCGGCGTTTTTGTCCCGCTCTTGTGCTGAAGCGGGCGGGCAGCTGAAATTTCCCATGGCCCTTGGGGAGCCAGAGGTGTTTTCAGCACTGCTAAAAACCGTCTCTGGTTTGGCCGAAATAGAACAGTGTAAATATCATCTTCACACGCGTGGAGTAAGAGCACTCAGGATCCTGGACTCATCAGGACACAGGGCGGGAAACGCGGGCAAATTCCCTGACGCAAAGCGCTGGGTTCTCTGGTTTGTGCTGTACGGGGGTCAGACTAGCTGAGAACAAGGGTCCTTTCTGTGCGTCTATGAAAAACCTACAAATAAATGCAGCTCAGGTCCTGATAGCAGCACGCCGTCCCCCCGGGCGCTGAGCAGTCCCGTCGCTGGGGGCTGGGACGTAGGATGGATGGTACCGTAGTGCCCTGCTTCTGGAGCTGGCCGAGATGCCAGTAAAAACATTGTGTCCCTGAAAAATACCGACGGGGACTGGTCTGCCCGTCCCTTCTCCACGCGTCTCCGGCAGCGTCTCCTTTCGGTTCCCAAGCGAGCCCGGCTGCTTCGGGGCATGACGCTTCCTCATTGATTTCTCACTGCCACTGAATTCTAACCCGCCCGCCCCGGGGGGCACCCGAACCCCGAGCTTCCTGACCGCGGTGCAGCTGGTGGGAGCCTTTGGGCTTGGAGGGGGTACGCGGACCTTACCCGTCACTGCCCTCGCTAGCCCTGCCTGGGAGAGCTCTTTGGCGGCTCTGCCTGCCCGGGGCATGTGTGCTCAGGGAGCTGTGACAGGGCCCGTGTCTCTCAGTTTGTCCTTGAGAACAGCAGCCGTGACGATAAACACGAGTGCCCGTTTGCCCGGAGCAGCATCCAGCTCACCCTGGCCCTCTGCGAGATCCTGCACGTCGGGGAACCATGTGAGTGCCCGGCCCCTTGCGTCTGCTAACGTAGCCCGTCCAGAGCCCCACGACTCCCGGTTTAAACCGGGGGGCATCACAGATCCTGGCTAGGTTAGGGGGTGGTCACAGCTGAAACCTTGTGGGTGTCCTGGGGGGGGGGGGGGGGCGGATGGGTGCAGCCATATCCTGCAGGCATCATGGTCGCCATTTCTGGGACCTCCTGGTTGTTGAGGTTTTCCAAAAGAGCAGGGAAACCTAGTCCCATTGTGTCCTTCTTGCCTCAGGCTCGGAGACGGCCCAGGCCTTCTACCTCATGTTCTTCGGTCAGGACCACTTCTTCCAGGAGCTCTTCTGTATCTGCATCCAGCTGCAGAACAAGACCTGGAAGGAGATGCGTGCCACGCAGGAGGACTTCGACAAGGTGAGCCCCGTGCTGCCATGGAGCGGGGTGTCCAGGGTCTCACTGGGCAGATGGGATCTGGACAGATCTGCACTGTGGAACGGGGTGGTGCCATGTGCCGGTGCCATGTGCCCCACAGAGGGCGTGGGGGGCTGTAGAGCGGGGTCCTGTGCCGGCGGGACGGTGCCGTGTGCCGGGCGTGGGGGGGCAGTGGAGTGGGGTCCCGTGCCGGTGGGATGGTGCCGTGTGCCCCACAGAGGGCGTGGGGGGCTGTGGAGCTGGGTCCCGTGACAATGCCCTGTGCCTGCAGGTGCTGCAGGTGGTTCGGGAGCAGATCACCCGGACCCTGTCCCTCAAACCCACCTCCCTGGAGCTGTTCAAGACCCGAGTGAACGCGCTTAACTACAGCGAGATCCTGAGACTGCGGCAGACGGAGAGGATGCACCAGGAGGAGACGCTGGCCGTGCCTGTGCTGTGAGTGGGAGAGGGGCCGGGGCACAGGGAAAGGGACCCCGGCTCTGTATCAGGAGCTGCAGGGGGAGCCCCCTACTCTGCCAGTTGGGGCCTTGGAGGTCTGGGCTCCCTGCTCTGAGCATTGGGGGGAGGTCTGGGGGTCTGCTCCAAGTGCTGGGGAGGGTCTGCGGTCCCTGCGCCGAGCACTGTGGGGGCGGGGCGGGGTCCCTGCGCTGAGCGCTGCAGGGGAGGGGCGGCGAGGGGAGCCCTGCCAGCCCGCTGGGGCTCAGCGCTGCGCTCGGGGTGGACCTGCCCATGTCCCATCTCGCCCGCTCTCCAGGGAACTGCGAGAGAGGCTCAAGCCCGAGCTCCTGGAGCTGATCCGCCAGCAGCGGCTCCTGCGGCTCTGCGAGGGGACCCTCTTCCGCAAGATCAGCAGCCGCCGCAGACAGGGTGAGGTCAGGGGCAGCGCCACGTCCTGGCGCGCTGGGCCCTGACACCCGGGGGCCGGAGGGGGCGCTTGGCACTGTGTGGGGAGTGGTCAGTGTCCCTCAGGTGGTGGGGGAGAGGTCCGAGGTGCCTGCGGGGGGCATACAGTGGGCACTGAAGTACGTTCGCTAAACTCTGGAGACCAGCGTGGCTGAACTGGAGGAGCTAAGGGAGACCCCCGGGACGGTCCCACCCCCGGGCTGGCAGCCCCTGGGCTGTTGAGGAGGATGAAAGTCTCAGGGTAGGAGAACTTCAAGCAGGAGTGTGGGAAACGATCCCAGAATTGGGGCCCTCCCTCCAGATGACGTCATGGTGTCCTCTTGCCCTGAGGATACCCTGCAGCAGCGCAGCAGTAAGGGCAGCATGGTGCGGGGAGGTCATCACAGCCTGAAATAGTTTCAAAGGGGGGGTCCCAGCAAAAAAAGTTTGAGACTCCTGGATCTAGACAGACTTGCGTGCAGTGCTGGGGAGGAGCCGGTGGTCATGGTACGTGTCAGTACCGATGACACAGGGAAAGGTAGGAGAGAGGTCCTGGAGGTCAAATTTGGGTTGCTAGGTGAGAGACTACAGTCCAGGGTCTCCATAGCAACAGTGTCTGAAATGCTTCCAGTTCCACGCGCAGGGACGGTAAGGCAGGCAGAACCGCAGGGTCTCAATGTGTGGATGAGACGACGGTGTAGGGAGGAGGGATTTAGATTTATTAGCAACCAGGGAACCTTTTGAGAAAGGAGGCGCATATACAGAAGGGTGGGCTCCACCTAAGCCAGAACAGAGCCAGATTGCCAGCATGTAAACCTAAAAAGGTCGTAGAGCGGTTTTTAAACTAAGGGCTAGGGGAAAGCCAGTAAGTGTGGAGGAGCACATGGTTCGGACAGACATCCCTTAGGGGAGGAGGAGACGTCCGTCTGTGGGTGAGCCAAGGGCCCTGACTGCCACTCCCTTCCCATCCCAGATAAGCTGTGGTACTGCCGCCTGTCCCCCAACCACAAGGTGCTGCACTACGGAGATGTGGAGCAGGGGGTGCAGAGCCCCCCCATCGAGAGCCTGCCGGAGAAGAGTACGTGACAGCCAAGAGGGGGATCGTCCCTCAGAGGGGATGTGATTGCGGGGTGCCAAGTAACAAATGGGGGGCTTCTGTTCTCTTTCTAACACGGAGCAAGGGACGCTTGGTGACTTGGGAAAGTCCAAACCGATGCTCTTCCCACGGGGGGCGGTTAGCCTGGGGAACTCATGGCCACAGGAAGCTGCTGAGGCCAAGAATTTAGCAAGATTCCCAGAGAGAGCGACTATGGAGCGGCCAGAACTGGCATCGTTCATGCCAACCCTCAGCCTAGACAGGATATTGACTGTCCTGCTTTTGGGCTTCAGCTGGTCTCTGTTAGAGAGTGGGGGCAGAGCGTCCCCATCTGCTCCTGGGGTTCGGGCACTGCCCTCTGAAGCAGCTGGCGTTGGCTACTGAGGGAGATGGGACTCTGGGTAGATGGGCCTTGGCTCTGAGCCTGCCTGGTGGGGCCTGGCATGCTGAATAACGCTGTACTGCTGGCATGTACCCGCTCTGCCCAGCACCCAAGGGGGCTGCCTTTCCTCCTGTGCTTGTCTTGCCAAGAGAGCTGTGCTGGGCTCCCTCAGGGCGCGAGTGTGCAGGGGCTTGGGCTATCAGGGACTCCTGAGCCACCTGGGGTGGGGGTGGGGCTGTGGGGCAGGGGGTGGGGGGAACACGCTGGGCTCTGCTGAGCGCCTCTGCCATGCCTCTGTCCCCCCAGTTCCCGTGGCCGACATCAAGGAGCTGCTGGTTGGCAGGGAATGCCCGCACATGAAGGAGAAGGGCTCCGGGAAGCACAACAAGGTCAGCAGCTGCTCCCTGCCTGGCCACTCACCCCCCCCCCTCCCCAATGCTGGGCTCTGTACAGGCATGTGTCTGTCAGCGGGGTCCCGGGGGTGGGGCTGCCTGACGCCTCCCTCCGCTTGTTCTCCACTGCACTGGTCCAGGGAAGGCAGAGAGCGCGCAGAGATCTGGGCAGGCGCGTGCTGCAATGGCAGCGGTGAAGGGCCAGCAACTGCCCTGCCTAGGCCACCGTCAGGGTCTTACACCCCCCCGGGCCGGCCGGCAGCGCAGGACCCAGCGTGGAACCTGAACGGGGCAGAGAGCAAGAGCCCAGCAAGGAGGCGCTGAGAGCGGACGCTGAGCCGGGTGCTCCCCCACAGCCCTGCGAGCTCACCAGCTCCTTGCCCCGGGTTTGCCCTGCCTGGAGATTGGGGGCTGCTGATACCACGTGTAGGCCTGGGAACTCTCCAGGGGCTTGTCTGCACGGGCGTTACTGGGCAGCCAAAGAGCACCCAGCTTGCTGCACGGCACCGTCCCGGTGACCTGTCACCGCAGGGTACAGCCTGTCCGCTGCCTTGCCTTGGCCCCGTGCTCTGCACAGCCCTTCCTGTCCTCGCTGCGGCCGCACCCAGGACCAGCTGCCGAGAGATTGAGATGTGCCTGCCCTTTCCCCACAGGATGTCCTGGACCTGGCCTTCTCCATTAGCTATGACGTGGAGGAGTACTACCTGAACTTCATCGCCCCCACTCGCTACGAGGTGAGCCTCTGCGTGCGGCCCGTTGGGCCGGGTTCTAGCTCGGCCTCTGCCGTTGGCTTGGTGGGTGTCCTTGGCAGAGTCTCTGCCCCTTTGTCTGTTTCCCCGTCTGTGAAAGAGGGAGGCGGCTCCCCCTTGGCAAACCCTTCAGGCTCTGTGAGCGGAGAGTGCGTGGCAGGGCTGGTGGGGTCCGTGCGGACAGACAGCAGGAAGCAAGATGGGCACGTGGCCCAGAGCTCGTTCCCCGGACACGGCATTCCAAGCTGTAACTCTCCGGGTAAGCCGGCAGCACCCACGCCGCCCTGGGCAGTCCCACCCCGCTGCCAGTTGTTGGCCGGGGCTGCGGGCAGTCATGCCTTTGTACGTCGGTCTGGCTGTGCCTTGGGGAAGGCAGGTTCTGCAGTTCACTGCCCAGGCGTCCTCAGAGGCACTCAGACCAGCCTGGATGAATGGGAAGTTACAATTTCCCTCAGCCCGGGACGGAGGTGAGGGCCCTTGGGGATGGGCTTGAACAGACATCCAAGGGCAAGGGGTGTTGTAGGATCGCTTGGGGGGATGCGCATGGCTTAGATCAGATTGGGATGGCACAGGACCTGGCCCTGGATCGGGAAGGGATGGAGGAAGAGGTGTGGTGATGGATGCCAGGGGAGTGTGGTGGATGGACGTGGAGCTAGGAGGCGGCGTGTGAGATGCCAGATGCCTCTGAACGGGGGGAGGGTGCCCGGTGGACTGGGTGGAGAGACAGGAATGCAGCGAGGGGGGCGCATTGGAGGACAGGTGTGGGAGGGGAACAAGGCGTTAGCACTGTCCCTGCCTGGAGAAGACACTACACACAGCCGGCTGAGGTTGAACCAGTGTGACTTTGCCCCTAGCCAAGGGCCGGGGGGGGTCAGATCTCCGCGCAGACACTGGGGGCCGGGGACTGAGCTGTGCTGCACAAAGCCAGCGGCCGGAGCCCTCCCCTGGCCGCAGGCTGGGGCTACACCCTGGCCTGCTGCTTCCCCCTGACCTGTCTGAGGCGCGTGGGCGAGGGGCACACCTGTGGTGTTGGGCGGGAGGCTCGGGAGGAAGTGGGAGGCAGGCAGCGTGGCCCAGCCGGCGGGGGCGACTACCCCACAGCTGAGGCCAGCTTTCGGTTGCCCCTCAGTTCTGCCTGTGGACGGACGGCCTGAACGTGTTGCTGGGCCGGGAGCTGACGAGCGAGCGAACCCAGAGCGAGCTCGACATCCTGCTCTCCATGGAGCTCAAGCTGCGCCTCCTGGACCTGGAGAACATTTCCATCCCCGACACCCCTCCCCCCGTCCCCAAGCCCCCCAGCAACTTAAACTTCTGCTATGACTTCAGCCCCAATGAACAGTGAGGGCCTCCACCCCCGCCATGGTGCTCTCGCTCCCCCGAGCCAGCCCCAGCTCCCGGCCCTGCTAGCAGGAAGTCTGGGCCAGAGGCTGCGCTGGAAGTGGGAGGAAGGGAAAACCTGGCTCCCCGCTGTGGCCCCTCCTGCTGGGCAGAGAGCGAGTGGGGGAAGGGCTGGTGGGTGAGAGCCATGATCTCCTTTCCCCCCTCGTCCTGGTTCTGCCCTGGGTCCCCTTCCCCCTAGGGCAGCCTCCCACCCCTTCCACTTGCCACCCTGACCGAGCGGGGCTCACCCAAGTGCCTCATTGCCCCACGCTGCACTGGTGCTGCTGCTGTTACTGCGCCATGGGGGGTGGCCTGGGGCGCCCCGCTCCCCACGGCAGGCTGCTCCTGGGGGGTTGACAGAGCCTTTGGCAATCCGCCGAGCCCCTCGGAGCTGGCACCATCCTCCCGCAGGAGTCCTCACCTGCTGTGCTGGTACGATATGGGGCATCTGGGCACACCCCAGGGAAAGACGCTGAGGTGGCACCCGAGAAGGTACGATTCTGTGCTGCCCCACGCTCCCCCTGCCGCTCTCTGGGCACGGGACACACTGATAAGTGACAGCCTGGGCAGGGGGGCTGGTGCCTCTCCCTGGCCTGGTACCTGCTGAGGATCTCTCTGCTGCTGGCTCATCAGCCGAACGCCTGGCAAGGGTGGGCTCAGCACTGCAGGAGGAAGCTAAACTGTCACACTGCAGGGCAGGGCAGGGCCCAGCTGTCGCCCTGAGCTTTGACGTGGTGCCAGCAGCCCCCGTTATTCTTTATGGACAAGACGGCGTTCTGGGGAAAATCTGCCTTCCAGCAGCTATGGTGTTAAAGCTGCTGGGGCCAAATGGCTGAGCCACTCCCTGAGCACAAGGAGAAAGGGAGTCACTGCCAGTCCCCTCTGCGAGCCTCCCTGAGCTGGGCCTGCTGGCGCCTGGCTGGGGGGAGCTGAGGCTGGGCATGGGCGGGCGCCTGCTGCAGGCTCCACTGTCACTCGGGGCTGAAGTCTGCACCCCGGGAATCCCGGCCAGGCTGCCAACGCCCCACCGCTGTCACTCGGGGCTGAAGTCTGCACCCCGGGAATCCCGGCCAGGCTGCCAACGCCCCCCCGGGCCTGTGGCTCAAGCCGAGCCATCCCTGGTCACAGCCCAGCACTGACTGCCTCGCCCCTCCTACTGTCTACCCTGCCCCGGGATCCACTGCCCCCCTTCGCCAGAATGCTGCACTTACTAACCGGCCAGCCTGTTTCCCTGGCCCTTCACCCTGCTCTGTACCACTCCAGCCTGGTGCTTCTACTGAGAGAGGTACCCCGTGGCACCAGGCCCTTCCCCCCACCTCTATAGGGGACTCGAATAATACTAAGGGACTAACCTGCCTGATTGTCTCACACTGGATCTGCACTGTCCCCTGCCCTGGGGCTGGAGAGGGCTGAGAACAGAGCCCTTCCACCCCCCAGCATTTGGACAATAAACACTTGTACGGAGAAACCCACGGCCTGTTTTCTTAAGGGGGGAGTTTGGGGTTTCCAGCTAGATTCCTCCGGCCTCCCTGGGCTGGACCCTGGTTAGCTGCAGAAGCTGCAAGGCAGTGACGGCAGCCCCCTTGGACAGTGCTGTTTCATAGAATCTCAGGGTTGGAAGGGCCCTCAGGAGGTCATCTAGTCCCACCCCCTGCTCAAAGCAGGACCAATCCCCAAATGGCCCCCTCAAGGATTGAACTCACAACTATGAGTTTAGGAGGCCAAAGCTCAAACCACTGAGCTATCCCTCCCTGGCAGAGGGTGAGCTGGGGCCCCAGGCCCTCCTGCTTTGCACAATAGCACAGATCAGTGGGGCTGTTTAAATCAGAGGCTTTTATTAGAGCACTGGCCGCATCGCCGGGTAAAGGCATCACGCGTCGCTTTGGAGGAGTCTGAAGCGGGGCGGGTTCCCAGGAGGGTCGTGGTGGGTGGTAAGGAACGCGTGAAACGGAGACCAGTGTGCTCTGGAAGCAGCTGGTGCGGTGGGGGCAGGCATGGGCTGGCAGCACAGAGCTTTGTCCTGGCACAGGAGAGTGGGTGCTGAGCCATCCCCATCCCCCACCGCTGGAGGGGGAGAGCGGGCAGTGAGCCATTTCCCCCACACACCTCTGGAGGGGGAGAGTGGGCAGTAAGACACCCCCCACCACCACCACCACTGGAGGGGGAGAGCGGGCAGTGAGCCATCTCTCATGCCACTCTGCCTCCCAGAGAGCAGGGGGTGGGCTTAGGCAGTGAAGTCTCCCCCCCCACCCTGCTTTGCAGCACTAGGCTTAGTCCCGAGCTGCAGTCTGTGCTGGGGAGATGGGGCAGGGGGCTTGGAGGAGTCGCTGGCCTCGGCCTCGAGCGCTGCCGACTGCATGGAACAGCAGCTCTCGCTGCCCAATACTGCTGAGGAAGGAAGCACCCAACCCCTTCAAGGGGCTTTATCACCCTCTGCCCCTGGGTGAACGCAGCCCAGGGCAGGCGCCCTGGCTTTCGGCTTTTCCCACTGTCTCAGCCCTGCGTGAGCAGCCGGGGACCCCTGGAACTCACTGGTGGTGCCAGGCTCCAAACAGCTCTGCATACCAGCATCTCCCAAAGGCACCCTGGGGGTGTGCCGGGGCGGGAGCTCAGGGCCTGGCCTGGGTCTTCGCACACCCGGCCGGACCTTGGCAGCGGCCCAGCTGCACGTAGTGTTAGACACTAGAACTCTCTGGCCAAGGGGTGTCACCACTCGCCCCCCAGCCCAGGCCAAGACGCCGTGGAGCGCGTGTCCCAGCTGGGAGCGGGACGCGGGGAAGGGCCTGAGCTGTAGCATCAGCCATTCTCCGAGCTGCCCCAGACCGGAGGGATCTGAGCCTGCCGCTTGGCCCCGCTCACAGGGTGAAGGAAAGATCTGCTCCGCCCACAAAGCGCGACTGGACACACGTCTGCAGGGGCAGCTGGGCCTGGAAAAGCTCAATATCGGCCATGCTGATCCCATGGCACATGGAGACATCCAGGCTCTTCAGCTGTCTGCACTCCCTGCTGATGGCCATCAGTGTCCTGCAAAGGAGACAAGTCAGGGCTCTCTTCCCCCTTCCTCCCAGCCTGCGACAGGCAGGGCGACTCCCCCGTTGAAGGCCAGCATCAGAGGAAGGCCTTGCGATACTTACTGGCGTGTGAGCTGGCTGCAGCCAGAGAGGACTAAGTGCTGGAGTCTCCGTAGAGAGCTAGCGGCCTCCAGGAAGCCTTTGTCAGTCAGCTTTCCGCAGTGACTCATGGACAGCTGCTCCAGGCTCTGGCAACCCCTGGCCACCGCTACCAGGCTGGCGTCGGTGATCTCCGGTAGCAAGCTGAGGGCCAGCCGCCTCAGGGCGGGGAAGCGGATAACCTAGATGGACAGACGGATGAGAGCCCATCGGGCAGAGCTGGCCTGAACCTTTCCAGAGTATTACAGCCGTTGTGCTGGCACTCAGGTGGGCACATCTTCACCACCGGCTCCCGGCCTGGGCAAGGCTTGCACAGAAAACTTCAGAGCATAAAGTATTAGGAAGGAGAGAAAAGGCGTCCTCAGCCCGGCTCCCCCCAGAGCCGTGGCACCGGGAGTTCTGAGGAATGAGGTCTTACCCCCGATCTCGCCCTGGGTCAGTACCGCTGCTGGCACTGGGCAGGAGGGGGTTGCTTTCTGCTGGCAGGGCAGCTTCTAACCCAGCCAGCCTGGCGTCTGCACGCTGCCCACCCAGCCGCACGGCAGCTCCCCAGCTGGAGAAGCAGATCGGAGCCTGATTCCTCCGCCTCAGCGCCCTGCGTCACGTGGGCACCTGGTGGGCAGTGGTGACACAGTCCAGTGCTGAGGGAGCCGTCAGCACCCGGCACCGTTTCCCCTGGTACGTGCACAGGAACACGCAGCCCAGGAGGATTTCACTGGACAGCCGCTGGGCTGGGCTGATCCACGGCCGGGCTCTCCATACCTTGGCAATGCTGCTGTCAGTCAGCTTGCTGCAGGCCATGAGGTCGAGCTCTTGCAGCTGTTCTAGCGCCTGCAGGGAGGCCCGGTGCTGCTTCTGGGACTCGTTCCAGGCGGAGTCGCTGAGGACCTTGGGATCCTGCTCCAGGTTCTGCAGGGGCGGCAGGAAGAATCCCATGTTACCGAAATTCCTGCTGAACTGTGGCCCTGCGTCCTTCTGCCAAGAAAAGGGACATGTTGCTGAGCCCGGGGGGCTCTCAGCCTCCCATCCTCTGAGCTGTGGCAGGGACTGGGCCTGGGGTCCCAGAGAGAAGGAACAGCCCCACAGACGTTCCCGTTCCATGCTGGCCCCCTGCAGAAAACCAAGGTGCCGAGCTGGGACTGCGCTGCCACCACCTCCATGCATCCTCCTGCCTGGGCACAGGCTGGCCCTTGGCAGCACTCAGAGAGCCCCTGCTGCCTCGGCTTTCGCTCCACGGGCATCAGCCAGGCTCCGGAGCGGGCTCTCACCTCTCTGCGATGGTTACGCTCCTCTCTGGGCTCCTCTACGCCCAGGAGGCCCCAGTCCGTCAGCTCCTTGCACCAGGCCAGTCGCAGGACAGTCAGCCGGGGGAGGTGGGAGGAAATCGCTTGGATGCTCACATTGGTGATGGAGACGCAGGAGGAGAGGTCTAATACCCGCAGACTGGGGCTGAGGGACCTGGCCAGCGAGAGGACAGAGCTGTCCTGGGGAGGAGAAGGGAATGAGTGAGAAGCCAAAGAGCTACACTGAGCAATGCCAAACATGCCCTGTTGGCCAAGGCTCTGTGCAGGAGAGAGCCCCGGCGGGGCAGAGCCTGGCGGCCCGGCTGCAGGTGAAGGGGTATGGGACTGAAAGGCAGGGCCCTGCCCCCTCTGCCAATAGCAGGAATTGGGGAACTTACTCTGAGCAGAGAGCAGAAGGCGAAGCTGAGGGAGGCCAGGCTAGGCCGCAGCTCAGGGGTGGAGCACACTTTCACCAGCTCACTGCCGCTCACGAGGCTGCACTCAGACAGGTCCAGCCTCTGCAGGCTCCGGAGCTCAGCAATGCCCAGGAAACCCCCATCCGTCAGGCGCTGGAGCT